GAGGGGGGGAAGAGTCGTATGCCAGTTATCAGCTACCTTCAGAGTCAGACATCAATGAGGCAGACAAACAAGTGGAGCCTGTTCCCAGTGTGCGTATGCACAGAGTTGCCAGATGAAGGGAACAGCTAAAGAATAGGGAGTTGGGAGTAAGGCTACAAGTGGACAATGAAGGGCCCCTCCCAGAGGAAATAAAAGAGGAGCGAAAGGGGAGTGGAGTTTGCAGGAGACAATTAGTTTGATTAATTGGCCTGTGACTCTCTGAGACTCCTTGCCAAGTTTTGCAGATATTGGCCTGTCAGCTTTCCAAGTCAGATAAGGTCTGTGTCTGTAAATCCTCCTCTGAAAGACTTTGCTGGGTGTGAATGAGCAGAATCATTCACACCCAGCAAAGTAAATTAATAAAAGGGTTTTTTGTTGGGACAAGGAGTCTGCTTCATGCTCTTGGGAAGAACAAGAAACTTTCTGTTTTTCCTGCACAGATTGTCTGTCCTGTCTGTCCAGCTAATCAATTCCAGCAAAAAGTATGTGTAAAAGGACTGAGAAACAGACAAGGTGGTTGAGTTTCTGCCCAACAATTTCCTTTCGACAAAAAGAAAATAAGTATTAGTAATTTCTTTATATACCTATATTTGTAGAATGCCCATCCTTGCAATAAAACAATTGTTTACTTCATCAATGCAGTCAATTTCATATTCCATAAAGAAAGGTTGCTATCAAGCATACAAGGAGGTTGCACTCAGGAAGATTAACTTAGTGTTCAGGAACACAAATATAATTGCCAGTCCTGCAAATGGATGAACTCCTGCTTCCACCTTTGATCTTAATTCCATTTGTTCATGATGGATGCAGAGAACTAAATTAGCTCTAAGTAGTAATGACCGCAGGAGAAGTAGAAGTCTTACAGAGAATGGCTATAATTTCAGCAATAATTATGCAGTGAAATATTATTTGGGCTGGGTTTTCAAAGATTGCATCCCCAAATACTAAAGACATTTGCTTTACAGCCTTCCCAATCTGAAATGCATTATGAAATTATTTCTATTTTAATTTTAAGGTCTATGTATCATGTTACCATGAAATTGTGCCCAAGTAGCAAGAATGCCACCATATTTCTGCAAAATATAATATAGCAATTCAAGTAAACTTCTGTAAACTTTTTCATGTTTTCATAAGAAAACAGGCCACAAATAGATACTATATGTTTATGGCCTGTTTTCTGATAGTACTGATCAACTGATCAACATAGTATTAACACACAGAAAATCAGAAAGGACTTCCTTGGAGAAGCCAAACTATTTAGATGCTTTCCTGTTTGCAGGTGATGATTTCATACAAATACATGAACTCTGCTTTGTATTTCCACTAAATAATTAGAAAAACATTGGATGAGGTCTTAGATAATGAGAAATAGAAATTCATAGGTTATTTGGAAGCACTCTTTGTTTTCAAGTGTCCAGACTCCAGACCTAAATAACAGTAGGCCAATTTGTACTGAAATTTATTCCATTTAGATTGTATAATATCATTGGCCTTGTACCAGGGGTGGGTTGCTGCCAGCATTACTGCTGGTTTGGCATGCGTGCTCATTTGCACCTAAAAAGGTCTGCACATGCGCACAATGTTAGAAAAGGGGGGGGGGAATTACATTTTTTGCAATGAAGATTGTTCTATGCATGTGCAGAACCAAAATCAAGATGGCACTGGCGCCAATAGAACTGGTTTGGGAGTGTGGCAGGCCGAGTTATTACCTACTCGGCTGAACCGGTCTGAACTGGTAGGAATCCACCTCTGCCTTGTACTACAAAGAAAGCAGCAGAATTATCCTGCCAATTATTTCCCTGTGACATAAGACACAGTACTCAATACATCTTTGAGTATAATGGGCATTACTTGTTAGTGCCTGGCTTGTATTAAGCTCTTCGCAAGACGCATTCCCTGTGCTTGAGTTTGGACATCACAAGTCAAGGCAGAGATGATCTGGGCTATGTGCAAAGCCCAAATTATGTTATAGTTTCTAGAATATCACACCAGAATAGGAAATATTGAGTTTCAATTCTGCCTTTATTTATATTATTCATGTGATGATTTTAGGATCATTCATCTCAGATTATGCAAAATCAAAGGGTTGTTGTCAACGGTGGGTTTCACTTTTTTTTACCACGGGTTTGCTGCATGCGCACGGTCCGTGTATGTGCCTGGCATTCCATACATGCGCTTTGCTCACGACACGCCTTCTATGCATGTGCCCGGCCTAAAAAACATGGCTAAATAGGATGGCATAGAGCCAGGGGGGCAGGTGGACTGCATATTAAAAAATCAGCATCTTGCATGCCTTCTATGCATGTGCCCGGCCTAAAAAACATGGCTAAATAGAACGGCATAGCACCAGAGCAGGTGAGCAGGCCCAACCATGATCTTCGCTACCAGTTCTCACTAATCGGTCCAAACGAGCTGAATACCAGCTCCGGTTGCTGTGAAAGTTTTAGGGTTCCAAATAGCATCCAAAAGTAAATCAGAGTCCAAGGCAAAGTATTGCTCAAATTTCCAATTTATTAAGAGAGCCACATTGGCACATCTAGGAAAACCCGAATCTGAAAGCTTCCAGGTTTTTCCCACCTAGTTTAAAGTTCAAGATCTTGCCCCCACACCCACCCAATTCCATCACATGGTCCAATCTCCCACTGCCATGTTGGCAGTTCTACCCATCCAGTTCTAGTCAGGAGCAGAGGCAAAGGATGACCTAGGCTTTCTAGAAAGAATTTTGTTTTTGGCTACACAGTAGGAAACTCCCTACAATCCCCCCTCCCATTTTCCCACAATAGAAAAAGGCATAGTAAAATAATAGAAAGTGTGGCAGGCCAAAGATCCAAAAGAAAGCTGCAGGCCTGACAGAAAGTGGATGCGTGAGAAGTATTTTTACTGCCTTGAACATTTTGGAAATAAACCTGGAGATACAAATATAATTTAGCACAGTAAATGTAAACAATGTAGTCTTCTGTTTAAAATAACAATCCTGTGATTAAGCAGAAGAACAGATGTTAGCCTTTTTAAATGGAAATTATTTTCTTAGTAAGCGTTTGCTAGTTCTGAGTCTTCATCCTGTGTTAAGATGCTGCTGGTTTTTGTTTTTGTTTTTTTACTATTATTAATATCTAGGAGTGCTAGATTTGTTTGATTTTGAACCACTTTGACTTTTTGAAAAATGATTACAAATATTGTACATTAGAAAAGAAGAAGCAAAAGAAGTATTTTGGTGGTCAGTTATTTCTCACTAGTATCCTTCTGTTTTGACTATTTTAATTAAAGAATTGCTTATGAAGCCTATATATATATATGAAGAAAGAGCAATGGTAGAGAATAAAATACAGGACATCATTTAAAAAACAATAACACAATGCTTATTTGGTTAGTGTTGCTGAAAATTCAAATCATTTGGGTGTGTGTGTGTGGAGTGCACGTGCAGTCAACAAACATGGATTCATCCATTGTCTTTTTCATAATAAATAACTGATGTGGCAGCTGTTGGTATAAAAAACAACCAGGGTATTGGACAGATTTTGAATCCATCCTTGAAAGGGCACGCCTACCAAACTACTGGTATATAGATAATTTTCTCAATGTCTCCTCATTCAACTGTTATCTGTCGGAATAGTGGCAACTTTTCCAGGTATGGTTGGTCAGTCAATATAGATTTCAAGTTATCCTTGGTGGCTCCTAACTGTGAAATACCACATGTACAGAATGCAACAGCTTTTGTTGGACTATATGCCTATGGCTATAAAAAAATGAGCATAAAGGATGTGCAGTGGTCTGGAATTAAGGAGAAACTTCCTAACAGTGAGAATAGCTAATCAGTGGAACAGAAGTTGCCTTCACAGGTTGGGGTGCATCATCACTGGAGGTTTTTTTGAGAAGAGACTGGACAACCACTTATCTGAAGTGGTTTAGGGTCTCCTGCTTGAGCAGGGTGTTGGAGTAGAAGACCTCCAAGGTCTCTTCCAGCTCTATTCTGATTGATTGGTAGCCTGTCCAGATGACAGAAGGTTATACTGGGCCCAAAGATGGTCCATGAAAAGTTAATAACTAAAAAAACCCTGCTATAAATAGCAAATATGTGTAGAGGGTGGTGTGGGGAGTGAACTTTGCAATGTGAAAATAGATTTTAAAATACCCATGTACATTTATTTAAAGTGGTTCAAATTTGAAATGTTTTGCACACACTTTGCTATAGTTAGAAAGGCATGGAACAGATTGAGCATTTGATTACATTATATTCTTATGAGATTGTTTATATCTCAGGTTTTGTTTTATAAAGGAGACAAAATTCTATTATTGCTTGCTGTGTTTTCTAATATATTGATATAACATTTATGTTTTATGCATGTTTTCTTTCCTTTTTTCCCCTTTAACTCTCTTCATAGATTTTTATAGCTAATTACTGGGTGCTTTATTTGTCTGCTATTTTTTTTTCTTATAAGCATTCCTGATGAGTCACTGGATACTTCTTAAATATTTCATTCTTCTTCAGATACTGTTCTGTATTATTAATTTAAGATTTAAAATTGGTCATGTAGTATGAAATGTTATTTTGAACATACGTTTTACTGGAAAGGCAATTATTAGATTATCACTGCCTTGCCAAAAAGATCAGAATACATCGTAATGCTAATCTGTGAATCTCCATGTTACTAGGACATTTGGCAATATACTTATTTTCTACCATCTGTAAAAACCAATTTGCAACACTATCCTAGGCCAATTGAATATACAGGTATAATATGGGTATTATAAACATATTATTATGATGCTTATTATGTATAGCATACCTTTATATGCTAGGAATGCCATAGAGAAGGATAAGTCAAATTTCCTGAAATATCTGTGAATTTGTATTAATTTTACAACATCCATTGCTAACCTGATGCTTTTAAGGTGTACTGGACTACAATTCTCATAATCCTGAATGAAATCAGTAACAATTTTACATCAAGATCTGGAATTGCATTAATGCCTCTTCTCCTGGCAAAAAAGAAATGAGGAGAGCAAGAATCAACATGACTTATCTTTTCCTGTTGCTAGGTAGGGTATATTTTTCCTTTTTAAAAAAAAATATGTTCAGACTAATAAGTTTCTGATTTCTTGTCCATTGATATAACTTATAGGAATGTGCAAAATTTAGCCTTGGAAATGGCCAATAAAAATGATCACATTTGGACCTAGAAAATGGCTTTCCTTACATGTGAGTAAAAGGAAATGTGGAGGAGATTCTACAGAAACCCCAAAGTTTACGCTTACTTGTGGTTTGAAGAATTGGAATCAGCATATATTCTTTTTCTTGAATTATTGAGACCAAGGGTTGGGGGTGGGGCAAGAACATCTCTGATGAGGATGAAACCCCTGTTACATCCTAAATAGAGTTCATTTGATGTCAGTGATGGTTCTGATAATCAAGGTAGAGACAAAGAACTCACATGGCCCTACCCACCTCTGTAGCAGCTGACCAGGATGATTATTGATTGATTGATTTCATGATTTCATGGTTGCTGCTTTTATTATTTTATAATTAAGTCAAGGCGGCCGTCATACTTAATGCTCCTTCCTCCTCCTATTTTCTCCACAGCAACAACCCTGCATCGTAGGTTGACTGAGAGAGAGAGAGAGAACTGGCCCAGGGGTGGTCTTCAAAATTTTTAGCAAGGGGTTTTCTGCCAAGTTGCTGGGCGGGTGTGGCCATGGTGGGCGTGGCCTAGTTGGCCTCCTGCACCATGGGGGGGGGGGTGCTTTTGCCCTCCCTAGACTCTGGAGATTTTCTTTGAGCCTCCGGGAGGGTGAAAACGGCCTCCCCAGGCTCCGGAGGCCCTCTGGACACCAGAAACAGGCCTCTTTCCGGCCTTCCTGAACTTCCAGTTGGCCTCTCTGAGACTCCGTGCATACCCTCCACTTACCTGCATCCAAAACAGGCCACATGGAGTCTCTTAGGAGGGGTGGGGTGGGCAGGGCCAGCCAGGAATGGGATTTGGGGGTTCTCCAAATCTCACAAAATCTTAGCTAGAGGTTTTCCCGAACCCCTGCAAACCCCCAAGAGCCCACCCATGTGGCCCAATGTTACCTGGATCAGCTGTCCCCAATCTTTTTGGCACCATGGATCAGTTGCCTAGAAGACAATTTTTCCTTGGGGGGGTGATGGTTTCAATTTCACTCATTCATCCCCTGCTCACCTCCAACTGTGTGGCTCGGTTCCTAACAGGCCCTGGACCGTGGCCTGGAGATTGGGGACCCCTGACCTAGATGACTGTCATGCCTGAGGCAGGAATAGAATTCATAGTCTCTTTCTTTCTAGCCTGATGCATTAACCGCTAGACCAAACTGGCTCTTGAATTTTACTTCGGTACTAAGGTGACCATCATCCTCTACCATACTTGGTTTAGAGATGGGATTTAACGAGAACTAAATGTGAACATCTTTCTCAGTTTCAATACAACTGTTGGTGTTAATTTGAACTGCAGCATATTGTGAGAACCTTTGATCTAAAATGGGAACTTTGTGCTTTGCTTCTAGCAGCCTCACTTCAGATAACCTGGCAAGATTCTTCTGCCTCTTTGGAAGAAAAACTATTTAAATCACTATTTGGTACAAATGCTGTTTATCAGACCCACAGAAATGGCAATGGCCCCCTTGTAGTGAATATCACAGTGATTATGTCTAATGTACTAGATGTGGTATGTATGATAAAATTTAAATATTTGTAAATGGTCATTAACTAAATACTCTTATCCAAAAGAAAATAGAGGCTTACTATGGGTTTAAATTGTTCCTAATTCCAATGGGGAATTAAAGAGTGTTTTTTGTTGTGTGTGTCTCTCTGTCTCTCTGTCTCTCTGTCTCTCTCTCTCTCTCTCTCTCTGACAGTGCTGAAGTCTCATCCATGCAATACTTTTATTGATCTATGCTGAGATTCCTAGCACAATCAACTTGGAAATGTCAATATTATAACTTACAAAGAGCATAAATAATTAATTAATGGAAGGCTTTGCTGTCTTCAAGCTGGCTAGTAGGCATGGAGGCATGGAGGCATTGCACTTGTACCCAGTTCCCTGGAGTTTCTCTGCTTCCTCAGCTGTAAAGTCACAAATAGCCCTTCATCCGACTCTACAAAGAGAGAAGTTAATAGAATTTTCCTTCCTGCATTCCTTGCATTTCGCAATATTGTTTTCATAGTGAGAGATGATCTGTGAGAATTGGTAGCAAGGAATATATTCCAAAGAAATGTAAGGGAGCATCTTGGAGACATGTATGTGCTGCAGAAATGCAGCTGAGTTTCCCCAAAATCTAACAATTCCAGTAATTTCATAGAGTTAAAAGGAAAATGGCTTTTCTTGCTTTGAGCAAGTGCTGAGGGAAGGAAGCAACTAGATAGGCGATGAACTCTGTGTCACAAAAATTGTTCATAAATAAGACATTCTGCGGGTAAAATAAAAATCATATCTGAACAACAGAGTACCTTGGGCAATATTTAAAATAATAGCTTTTTTTCTTTTTGGAACCTTAGTATCTGAAAATTATTCATTTCCTTTCTGTTCCGTTCCATTCCATTCAATTCCATTTTGCATTTTATTATGGATTTTCCAAAAGAAAATTCAATGTGTTTGTACAAACAAATGGAAGGAAAATGACCATGGATTATTCTTCCATTAGGACATCTTGAAATACACCATCACATCTGTTCTGGTCCTGAATCAGGTAATGCTTAATTTTTTAAAAAATACAGTAATTGGGAAGAGACAAGGAAGGCCTAAAACAGTGTGTACAGCATGAAAATCTAAATATTGTTTAAAAACCATAAAACTCTTTTGTCAAATTATTTATTTTAATATGACAGAAAGAGAAAATTACACCATGCATGATAAACTATATTCATTGCATGTCAATTACATTTAGATTACACACTCTCCTCATTTAGCAACCTTTCCATTCTCACATTAGTTCATTAAGTAAAATGGTCACTAAGTGAACCCATGACTGATAGGGAGAGAGATCCCTGGTTGCTGCTGTCTCATTCAGATACAGTTTGCTGGTACAGTTATGCCAGTGTTGCCTTCACTACAGCATGCATTGTTGTCAGACCCACAAAATTTGATTGTGTTAAATTTATATTTACCACCAAAGAAATAAAGGGAGACTAGTATAGATCTATTTCAAGCTATTTAGCTCTCATCAGGTAGCCATATCCTTCTGGGATTCAAAACCAGGCTGCTTACATATTAAGTAGATGTATTACCCTTGAAGCCACAGGTTCTCCTACCTCTGTCTGCTATACCAGGGCAACTTTTATCAGGGCAACTTGGTCTACCGAAATATGGGATGGCGCATACTGCTTCCGCTTGTGAAGGCTCCTGGATTGGGGCTGAAAGGTGAAAGCGGAAGCAGTATGCTCCATCCCATATTTGGGTAGACCAAATTGCCCTGATAAAAAACACAAATGTGATCATAAGTTCATCCATTGGTAGCAAAACATATTTTTATTATAATTTTTTATTTGCAAATGGTTGCTTAACAAGGTAGTTTCTAAATAAGGAGTGAATGCAAAGGGAAACATTTTTTTCTCCTGACTCCACCCACTTCTTTATTTTGGAATCAATTTTTTATGTCGAGTCCTTGGCACAGCACACATAACCCACGCTTGAACTTGAAAATATTATATAAGTGTGCTTTGAACAAAAAAGAAGAACATTCTAATCCTACTCCCCTCTTTTTGCATCCTGGTAAATAGGTGCAAATCTTTAATTGCAATGGAATGTAAGATATAAAGAAAAGAATAAAAGAAGAATAAAAGAAGACCGTTTGCTATAAATTTTATATGTATATAATAATAAATACCAAAAGCACATTTTCTTGCAGTATACAGTTTTTAGCCCCAGATTACACCACATTATTCAGAAAAATGCATAATTTGACATTCTGATTTGTGTAATCTGGAAAGTGTAGACTGGAAAATGTGAATTAAATGTTTCTATTTTTAATTTTTTTTTTCCTTTTGTGTACATCCCATACGGTTTTTCCAGCATCCATTTCTAGGTGAATTCATTCCTTTCTAACCATTGGATAGTCAACTTTCTTAAAAATCTCATCCTCAAACAGCTCATGTATTAAAAACACCATTGACTTTTCTTCTCCTTCAGAGTATATTGCAAACATATTGGCTCAATAATAATTTATTTTCCCCATGGATATTCTTGGAGCTTGGGCAGAGAAAATGGGCAGAAAACTCATTACAGAAAGACCTTAGGCCCAAATCACTAGCCATGGGAATAGTAACTATGGCAACTGAGCTTGCCTAAAATTATTATGCAATATCTATCATGCATTTAGACTTAATTTTTCTTCTCTTAACACTAACTTCATCCTAACACCCATGAAAAGATTGCCCATCACTCTTTATCCAGCATACATTGCTAACTCAAAAGGGAGCTCTCATTGCCCATGCAAATTGATCTCCATTCACACCTTCACTCTTTAAAATCCTAATCATGGGTCTAACTTCATCACCTAATGTCTCCAGGATGGCCAAGCTGGAAAAGGGTGCCTTAAATTTTAACATGTTCGGTGCCGGGAATGGGAAATGTGACAATGAAGACTAATATTTTCTCTTAATGAATTATTCAGTCGTGGTATAATGAAAGATTAGCTTGGGATGAGGAGGAATTCCCCTTCAACACTGTCACTGTGCCTTGGAATTCAGTCTGGACTCCATCCTATACAGTTCAAGAAGCGTAAGTAGCATTAAAATAACAGTGACCATAATAAGATACATTGGAAGAATGTTCTGTAGGATGACGTAGACATGAGACACATCTATTTCAACACTCTACCTGCAAAAGAGCCAGTTGGTGGTACTGTAGCTAATAGTAAGCTGTACCTATTCCCCAGTATTTGATCACAATAGCCCTATGTCTAATGTTTTAGCAAACTTACATCCATTCTCACCTTTATATTTGGATAGGATATTATACTTCCTCCCTTTCTCTCCTAACTTTTAATACATATTTACAAGAGTCATTGAGAGACAAAACAAACAAAGTGCAGGGAAGAAAAGACTTTAGAGTGTATTTGCAAAACTAAGAGTAATGAGCATGATTGTTTTTATTATACTTTATTACAGCCGAATGTTAGATTTAGTTGGGAGTCAAGAAGCTCACATTGGAATCTGCCAGTAGACACCATTGCATGAAACTCCATATAGCTCATAAAAGGAAAACACAAATATAGGGGCACAATCTGGCACAGGTTCCCTGAAGATTAAAATAAGGAATCTATTCAATATTCTTGTGGAAACATTACCACTCATATGTTATTTGCAATAAAGGAAGGTGCTTCCTACAGGTCTCTGTCTGAATAAAAATGTACTAAGATGATGTTGAACAGCCTTGCAGACTTCTTCTGGATCAGAAGGGCACTCTGTATCAATTCCTACTAACATGGCTATTTTCCCCCTTTTCGAAATAATAGGAGACAATGCAAGCCTTAAATAACTTGTAATTATTTTTAACTGTTCTGTGGCAGAGAAAGACACTGTATTTTTTGGAATATCAGACACACCTTTTCACTCCAAAAAAGAGGGTGAAAATCTGAGTGCGTCTTATACTCCGAATGTAGCTGCCTAGGTCGTGTCAAAAAGGGTCAGGTGAAGCTGGCGCTGCAGAGATCGTGATGGCTGGAAAGGAGAGAGGGTTCGCTTTTGGGACTCCCGCTCGGCTCGGCTCCCAGGAGGGCTTAGGGGGTGGCGGCGGTGGCAGTGGCTCCTCACATTGCTGGGGAATGAAGTCATTGTGGCCATTGTCTCCCCTGAGCTGCCCGCCGAATCTCTGAGGCACCTTTCGCTTGCAGGAGGAGGAGGTGGGCGAGGGCGGAGTATACCGAAGTCTGAGTAAGTGGGAAAGAAAGCCGCGCTTGGAATTTGCCGATAACTGCTGCCCGAAAAGCACGCCTTTCTTTCCCAGTTACTCAGAGGCTTTGGTTTAAGGAGGCGCCACTTTAAGCCGTCCTCTTCCTCCTCCTCCTGCAAACGAAAGGTGCCTCACAGATGGTAGATTTCTCAGAACGCTAGATTGGGAAGTTAAAAACCTGAAATGGGGACAATCAAAGGCTTTGGCTCCTGAGAATTCGGAGAGATTGGGGGCGGGGGGGGGGGAAGGGAAGAGGAACAATCTCTTTTTTACGAAAACTTTTCTCAGAACGCTAGATTGGGAAGTTAACGCTGGTACCACGATCTCTGCAGCGCCCGCTTTACCTGCCCCTTCTGGGGCGGTTTCAGGCGGCAGAGATCGCGGTAATAGCATTTCTGGGTGGCAGCGCTGCGATTTCGGGAGCCAAAGCCTTTGAATCAAGCTTGATTGTACCCCATTCCAGGTTTTTAACTTCCCAGTCTAGTGTTCTGATAAAAGTCTTCATGGAAAGATTGTTCCTCTTCCCCTCCCCCCCCCCCCCCCGCCCCAAAATCTCTCCAGATCTGCTTGTTGCTATTGCGCACAGCTACCGTATCTCTTTGCTGCATGACAGATCTGGGCGGCTTGGGGGATGGGGTGGAGGAAAGGCAGAGAACAAATCCCCACGAAGGCTTTTCTCAGGACCCTAGATCTCCACTTTCTCTCCGGGAAAAATGCTACTTGCATCGTCGGGATTTTGGCTAATGGAACAAGCACAGAACAAGCACATGGAAAGAATACAGGAGCGCCGTATTCCTGGAGCCTGGCAGCTGCCGCATTCCGAAGTTTCCTTTCCCTCTCTCTCTTCTTTCACTAGCCAAAATCCCAACGATGCCAATAGCTTTTTAGGATCCTGAGAAAAGCCTTCGTGCAGAAGTGATTGGTTCTCTTCCCTTGTTCCACCCCTCCCCCAATCTCTCCGGATCTGTCATGCAGTGCTTATTGCTACTGCTGCTATTGAGCCCAGCTACCGTATCTCTTGCTGCAGGACAGATCCGGGCGGATTTGGGTGTCTGTGTGCGATAAAGCACACCAGGTTTCCTTTATGTTTCCCTTTTGCCGCTCAGGCGTCGCCGCGAGGGACCATTAATCCAAATGGAAGGGATCCCCACCCCTCCTCATCCAATGGGCCGTTCCCAGCCAAGCACAGCAGCAGCCATTCAGCAGCCCCCGCATGTCTTTCCCTCCTCGCTGAAGAGAAAAGTGGGTTTGAGATCGATAAAAGCCTTACTCTTTAAGCTCAAGCCCTACACCTCGCATTTTTGCCCTCTCTGGCCCCCAGGAGCACTTTGCAGGCCCCCAAACTCTCTGCATGGGGTGTGCAGGTGGTTTGGGATGCCTGCAAAGTGCTCCTGGGGCCGAGGAGGACAAAAGCTTTTTTTAAAAATGTACCTCTTCAAAATCTTGGTGTGTCTTATACTATGCACAGAGCTGGCTATGAGCAAATTACCTTAAGAGCTTATTCCAGTACCAATATACCCTCCTTTCAGTTATGCAGGACTTTTGGACACATTCAAGTGGTATAATTTTCTGAGAAGCAACACAGAGGTAGAGGTAGTCCTCAGGTTATGACCAGTTGTTCAGAGACTATTCAGTTTTATAATGGTGCTGAACAAGGGGGACCTATGATGGCTCCCCAGAGTTCTGGACATTGTAGTGTCCCTGCAGCCACATTTCTGATGCTTTTTGCCAGGTTCCCACAAGCAATGGGGAAGCTGGTAGGAAGTCAGACGTCATGATCACTTGAGTTCCTTGTTTAATGACCCATGTGGTCCTTGTTTAATATCAACCCTAAGTGGCACAATCACATGATATTGCACTTTATGACCGCTTTGCTTAAGAACAGAGTTTCTGGCCTCAGTTGCTGTTGTAATCTGAGGACTACAGTATCTGTAGATTGCCATTGGTTTATTTCAACAATCCTTTGAGGTGGGTTGGGCTAAGAGGGAACAATTGGCCCAACGCCAGAGAGTTTTCATGGCTAGGATTAGAACTTCTGGTCTCCAGGTTTCTAGCCTGGTACCTTAACCACTAGACCAAACTGGTTTCCACATGTCATATAGAGCCAGTTAAAACAATTAATCAGTGAACAACTTGCCTCCAGAAGTTGTGAATTTTCCAGCACTGGACATTTTTAAGAAGAGATTGGACAACCATTTGTCTGAAATGGTATAGGGTTTCCTGCCTGAATAGGGAATTGAACTAGAAGATCTGTTATTCAATTCTATTCCAGTCCAGTTTAGTCTAATTTTTCTATATAATCCCAGCCTTTCTACAGTGAACAATGGTAGTTTGAGAATTTTAATAAGAAAATATGCATTTTTCTCATTTGAAAGTGAGAAATTGTTTCTCAACATTCTAGAAGATAACAAAATTGTGAAAAGCAACATTAGCTTTTGCTCGTGTCACATTTCTTTAATTAAAGGTTTGATGTAACATGGAGAGTGGGATCCCCTAACGTGGTACTTCACAGTGATGGGAAAACAGAATTTCAACTTGCTCTTCGCATTGACAGCAACTGCAACTTTGACCTCTTCTATTACCCATTAGATAGCAGCCAGTGCTTTTTGAGCTTTTTCTCACTGGACAGCAAAGGTAGGCAAAAGTCTGCATACATAAATAACATAAGGAAATTGGTTGTCATGTACAGTACAGAGCTCCATTTAAACCTCAAGTCAAATCATCTATAGCAATAGCAATAGCACTTAGACTTATATACCGCTTTCCAGTGCTTTACAGCCCTTATCTAAGCGGTTTACAGAATCAGCATATTGCCCCCAATAATTTGGGCCCTCATTTTACCCACCTTGGAAGGATGGAAGGCCGAATCAACCTTGAGCCGGTGAACTGCCAAACTGTAGCTAGCAGTCAGCAGAAGTAGCCTGCAACATTGCACTCTAATCACTGTGCCACCATGGCCCATATAGTTTCTTCTTAAATAAATTTTGGGTGTAGTTAACAAAGTTCTTTGCAGACTGCATGTTTTATTTCTGCTGGCATTACACGTAGTTCTAATTAAAGTTTTTATGTCTAATAGTTGTTGATTTGGGTGAATGTGATATGGCTAGTTATGAAGGCACAATGTACCCCTATGGATAACATCGATAGGATTATTCATAATACGACCTGCTTAATATTGCCGATTGCCACTGAGTTTAAAAATGGGGGATGATAAACATTGCTTGGTTAGTTTTCATGGCTTTTACATTAAAATGCATAATTTTAATGATATTAAAGTAATATTTACTTATACAAAAATTTGAATACATAAGCCAGTGAATAAAAACCACCTGACATTATCCACTAATGTGCCATTAGGTACATTGTCAACATCATTTATGTGGAGCTGCTGTACAAAATGTCCAGTTCCTATTATCAGTTTATGCACAATCTCCACTGACAGAATTTTGGGCACAAAGTTTATATCCAGGTGAGAAGATAGCTAGAAGGAGTTGAATCTCTCTACCCATAACCTTTGCAACTTGCTCAGCGCATCGTATCTGTTCTTAATGAAATAAAAAATATCAAACAAAAAAAGGCATCAGATAAAACTTTAAGGGAAGAGGTTGGCACCCGACTTCAGTTGCTAGGTTGTAGTAATTCCAAGTTTCAGCACCTAGTAGTAGCAACTCTGCTCTTCTAAACAATAACCACTTATTCTAACCTCTGTTATTACTCGGCCCTTTTCCCATCTAGGGCATTTCTTTTCCCAGATGGCTTCTAATATGGTTGAGTCATACATGTAGTTTGTCTTACTACATTCTATAACAACTTTTTCCTTACGATGAATACAATTGTGATTTTTCAAATTCTTTTTAAATTATTCTTTCAAGTCAGTGAGCTGGAATTCAGCACCTCCATTGCAAATAAAATTCTGAATTTAAAGCGTGAATATCTCATCACAAACGTGAACATTACAACTACAGGCCAAAGGAATATGGCCCAGCCTTATTTTGCGGTCATGGTAAGAATATCACTTGCATTATAATTTTTAAAAAGTACCTTGGTAACATCTTGGTCAGGGCCTATTTTTCTAGGTGATTGGACTGATGATGCATCTAGATCAGGGGTGTCCAAACTTGGGAACTTTAAGACTTGTGGACTTCGAGTCCCAGAATTCCTTAGCCAGCCATGACTTGGACACCCCTGATATAGGTGTTCTATCTGCCTTTGAAATGGATATTAACAATGGGAATATTTCTGAGAAGTCTCCCTCCCTTCCACTCTTATAAAAATAGAAACACTATAGTTGGGTGGGTTCATTTCATAAAAAAAACCTATAATCCGTGATTTAGAACCATAGTGGCTGAATTCACATGCTGTGTTTAACCAAAGCAAACAAACCATATTTAGACTTAGCGCTGTGCTTTATCAATGCCCAACAAGTTTCTGGTGAAACTTGAATTATTTCTTCCTGTTATCATGATGTCTGGCTTCTTTTTCAGATAAATCTAAAAAACACAGGAACACGAGTCCTCCTTTCCTCAATATTGCCAAGTCTTGCTGTTGAGATAGCTGATCTCTGTGGCTTCTTCATCCGTCTCCAAGACAGATTGTCATACATGATCACTTTGCTTTTGGCATACCTAGTCTTCTATTCTTCCTTTATTGGCTCCCTGCCAGAATCATCCTCCTGTAATCCTCTGCTCAGTAAGTGGTAGAAGCAAAAAGATGTCAAGCAGCAAGTCACCCAAATATATCAAATGGAAGGTTTTGTCCACTTTAATCTAATAGATTAAAATAACATTCAGAAAAAAATATTCATCTAAAGATAAGATTATAATGAATGATAATTATTGTGTAGTGGGCTTCAGTAGGCAAGAACCAGACCAGCATAGCTGCAACAGAATTTATTGACCCAAAAATGGAACTGAGGAACTGCAGGCAATTGCCTATGATTTATACTCTAGGCCAGCGATGGCGAACCTTTTTTGGCTCGTGTGCCATAAGCGGGGGGGAGCGCAGGGGGGTCATCTGCGGGCGTGCTACACCCATAATAGAATGCATGAACCACCTTCAGCGCACATGCGTGCATGACAGGCGCAAACCCCCATTTTTGCATGCTTTTTTCACCCCCCCCCCCCGAGGGCTTCCAGAGGCTTCAGAAGCTTCCCTGAAGCCTCCGGAGCGCAAAGAACCGGCCCTATGGCAAAGCGGAAGTTCAGGAACAGACGGAAGTGACTTCCGGTTTGCTCATAGGGCTGTTTTTCGTCCTCCGGAGCCTTCAGGGGCCTTCTGGAGGCTTCTCTGAAGGTTCCGGAGGACTAAAAACAGTCCTATGAGCAAATCGGAGAGCCTCCAAGGGAGGTGGGGGAGACTGTTTTCGCTCCTATAAAGCCTCTGGAGCCTGGGGAGGTCGAAAAATGGCTTTTAAAAAGGCTGAACTCAGCAACACCTTGTGTGCTCTGACAAATGGCTCAGTGTGCTATCTGTGGCACGCGTGCCATAGGTTCGCCATCCTGGCTCTAGGCCTACAGGGCAGGGGTGGGTTCTGGCAGACACTATTGCTGGTTCACTCATGGGCGCTTTGCACACATGTACTTGATGCACACTTTCCGCGCATGCGCAGTACAATAAAAATTGTTCTGCTTATGCGCAGAAGCAAAAAACAAAATGGTGCCGCCTTTGGCACTGCCCGGAGAACCAGTTCCAGGACATGGCAGGCCAGTTCCAGCGACCCAGGCTGCCAAACCACTACTGAATCAGTCCAAACCGGTAGGAACCCACCACTACTACAAGGCCTTAACCTATCATAGAACTAGTAAAAGCCCGTCCAAATATAAATGTTCTAAATTTCCCTCCAAAACAATTGGTGTCATCTAAAGGTTAGCTCACTTTAGCACAGTTAACGCAACTATATACATTCAATACATAGCAATAATAGCAAAACCTTTTGAGGGAAGGTGGTAAAAAGCTGGTTGCTTGGCAGTTTCGGAAGGGTTTGAATGAAACAGATCATCTGGCGCTCTCTCAGTCAGGATTCAGGCCTGGTTATGGGATGGAAATGGCATTGCTGACACTTGTTGATGATTTCTGGCAAAAGCAGGATGCAAGTAATGCAATCATCCTTGGTCGCCTTGATCTCTCAGCAGCCTTTGACACCATTCACCGTGGCATCCTTTTGAGCCACTACGGGGTCTGGTGCTGGGCAGCATAGTCTGCACTGGTGTGACTCTTTTCTCCAAGGCAGGTCCCAATAGGGAGTCAGAGATCCAGCCCATCACCGTTTTTCAGTGGTGTGCCACAGGGCTTGGTACTCTCCCCACTCCTTTTTAATATCTACATAAAGCTGCTGGGTAAAATAATCTATCACCTCTGATGATTTTAAATCTGCATCCCTGGTGAGCCAAGTGATGTTGCTGCTGCTCTTTCATGGTTCCTGGAGGCTGTGGGGGCCTGGGTGGAGGACAACAGGCTTCAGCTGAACCCTTGGGAGATACAATGGCTGCGGGTGCATGGAGCTTCAAGGTCCAGGATATTGACATCTTTAGTTCTGGAAGGGATGGCACCACCCGAGACAAACGTGGTATGCAACTTGGGGGCTCTCCTGGGCTCACAACTCCTGCTTGAAGAGCAGGGGGCAGTCTCAGCTAGTAGAGCTTTTGCACAACTTTGGGTTGTGCACCACTTCCAGCCCTTCCTGTATCAGGAGTTTCTGTGCTCAGCAATTCAAGCCCTGGTCATCTCATGCTTGGATTATTGTAATGTGCTCTAATTGAAGAGCTTTTGAAAGCTTCAACTGGTGGAGAATGTGGGAGCATGGGCAGTTTTGGGGGCCCTTAAAATGGCCCATGTTACGTCAATGTTCTGCGAGCTGCCCTGGCCGCTGGTTTGCTTCTAGGTTCAAGTCAAATTGTTGATTATTATCTATAAAGCCCTGCCTGGCAAGAGTCCAGGTTAACTGAGGAACCATCTCACCCCTATAGGACAGGCCTGCCCCACTCATCTCCATGCTGCGGAGTCAAGGAATTCCAACTGGCAGAGTCCAGGAGAAGAGCCTTCTCTGCTGGGGCCATGGTCCTTTGGAACATCCTGCCCCCTGAAGTGAGATAGTTTCCCACCCTCCTGACCTTCTGCAAGAGCCTGAAGACTTGACTCTGTCAGTTGGATTGGAGCCCCAATGGGGAAGTATTACGCTGGAGGTGGTTGATGGACTAATAGCAGCTCTCACCTTCCCCCCCTGTCAGTGGCGGATTAAGGCTCAGGGGTGCCCCCCCCCCTTGTACATACTGTGTACTTCACTGGTTTTTTTTTCTTTCTCAACTTTGTGGTGGCTCCTTTGGGCCTGGTGCCCTAAGCACATGCTTAGTCTGCTTAATGGTTAATACCCCAATGCCCCCTGTACATTCTGCTACTTTCCTCACCATCCCTTAGTTTTAATTATAATTTGTATTTTATTCTGATTTTACTGTGATTTTACACATTTGTATATAGATATTTATTTTGATGTTGTAAGCTGCCCAGAGTCATCTTGCAAGTGAGATGAATGGCAAACAAATTTCACAAATAAATAACTCTTACCGCTCATCACACACTACTATACTTTCAAGGAACCCTAACCCTAATGTTCATCCTAATCTGAATTTATAGATTAAGGTACTAGCCTAATTTCAGCACACACTTTATCAGTAACATAAAGCAAAGGCGAAGGGGACTCATCAATAATGCCTTTAACTTTTTTCTTCTTCCAATAATGTCTTAGGTTATTACTACACTGGCCTTCTCATATTACTATTCCTTAGCACAGCTGAAACTATTTTGGTGCAGAAGCTGGTCACTGGTAGTGCAAATCTTTGTCTGAATTATAGATTTAAAGCAAAAAAGAAAGGAACGTCTCTAGCATCGAATGACCAATTAGAACGTACAAAGGATTTTAAGATAAAAGGCAAGTAAATGAGATATATGGGCGGGGGTGGGGGAAAGACTGTAACATTTCATCAAATAAAGGGATGAGGAAGCTTCAGCACAATGACATAAATCTTGGCAGTAATGAATGGGCTACCATCTCCAGACTTTTTAAAACCTGGAAGTTGCCAGAGTTTTTAAGGCTGAAATAGTAGTGCTGCTATTTTAATTATTTAAACTAAGAGAATCAGTTATTTTAATACTCTGTGCTTTAAAATTAAGCCATGAAGTGGTAACCGGAATAACAGGGCAGCAATAGGGGTAGATAGTCTATTCCTTTTCCTCAGACTTCACTCAGCTTGGGGTGGGTTCCTGCCAGTTCTAACCTCTTCTATAGAAGAGGTTCCACAGATCTACCGTGCCATTTAGAACCGGTTCCTGCTCCCTCCCCCCCGCTCGTCCACACCACACTCACCCCGCCCGCCGCTCACTGATTGGCTGGCTCACCAATCGCCCCGCCCACTTCTAAGAGTCCTATCTAAACCTTAAAGTCTTAAAGCTGTCAAGTTTGAACATCCCTGGGTTTTTTTCTAAAGGGTTAGGGGTGCAAAGGTTTTGTAACTTGACAGCTTTAAGACTTGCACACTTCAGTGCCAGAATTCCTGAGCCAACATCACTGGAGGAGGAATTCTGGGAGTTGAAGTCCACAAGTCTTAAAGCTGTCAAGTTTGAACACCTCTGGGGTTTTTTTCCCCTAAAGGGTTAGGGGTGCAAGGGTCTTGTAACGAGCCTTAAAACTTGTGTGCTTCAAATGCCAGAGTTTCTGAGCCAATATTTTGGTTGCTAAGCAAGAGCGG